AGGTCACCTCTAAACATTGTGCTTCAGACGTTCCTTTGAGTGGATACCTGGTTGTTCTTCACATTGATGTTAATCACACTTCTTTAAGTGAATTGTTGTATATCTATGGAGAATAATAGTTAGTGTGCAGATATATGTGTATTGTATGTTCGAAAGGTCAACTGATGGAAAACAATGAAACACCCCGAGAGGTGCGGAATTGTCGTTTTATTCATTTAAGGTGCTTCTCGCATGTGCACCTTACGTCGTGCACTCATCGTTGACAGTACTGTTACTGTTTCTCTGTTATACCCNTGGACGATGCTCTACAGGGGCAACTCAGTGATGCTCTCATCGGTCGTGATCGTTTGCTCAGTGGTTAGTTAGCCAACGTGCTTTCCACTTTCCATTTAATGTACCTGTAACAATGACAAAAACAAATTGGTGTACATTCGTAATCACATATACCGTCGCCTTTAGTGTTGTTTTTCATCGAGTGCTGTTGGTGTCATCGGCGCGAAGAATACAATTCGCCCACATGCAAGCACATTCGTTTACGTTTACACATTTATGACTGCATGTTTCCATTAGGATGTGTAAATAATCCCATGAAAACGAAACGAGGATTTAATATCCTAAAGGTTTCTAGCTGCAAGGCAAAGTGGGCTTTGGTGGTTTTGGTCTATGGTTGAACATCTTCCTGCTACCTATGCAGCTCTTCGATCAATCAATACATCGAATTTTTTCATGAGAAGGAAAGCGGTGGACATTCGCAGTTGTCTGTAATGTGGTTACAATGCGATCTATAAAGGGATTAGAAGAAAATAGCTCGATACAAACTGAAATGGACGGGTCCAGAATTCAGATCGACTGCATAGATAAATTGATAGAAGGATAAAGCATTCGACGCTGATCTGTTTCTTAGAGTTTCTTAGAGCTTAGAGCATTCATTCGATTCTTTTTCGCAACTTCAAAGAAGTTATTGGATGGATGTATGGCTTGTGATATGTTGCGAGGGCCTTTTGGAGTGCCACCAGTATATCAAGTCCGTTTTTCTTTTTTTGCCCAGGCTGGTATGATTCCAATCTGGCAGGTGTTTCGATTAGCCTGCGGTGCTGATGGTAATCAATGATTATGTGGGTATTGCAGGTCACCTCTAAACATTGTGCTTCAGACGTTCCTTTGAGTGGATACCTGGTTGTTCTTCACATTGATGTTAATCACACTTCTTTAAGTGAATTGTTCTATATCTATGGAGAATAATAGTTAGTGTGCAGATATATGTGTATTGTATGTCCGAAAGGTCAACTGATGGAAAACAATGAAACACCCCGAGAAGTGCGGAATTGTCGTTTTATTCATTTAAGGTGCTTCTCGCATGTGCACCTTACGTCGTGCACTCATCGTTGACAGTACTGTTACTGTTTCTCTGTTATACCCTACTTCCTCTACCACTAATTCCTACAGTAAGTTCCTACCACTTTTTCTTACAGTTTTTATTCATGTGTAAGTTTTCTGCTAATTAAAACAGCTTGAACATTTTCCCAAACTGAGAAAGACGTTCCAGTGGGAAATCAACAAAAAAGAGAGTGATATGAATGCACCAGTTCATACTGGAGAAGTGTGGCGCCGTAGATCCAGCATTTAGTTTTTCACACTTTAAAGCACCTTTTTTGGGTTCTGATTGTCATATTTAAAATATTAAGGAAGGTTTGATGTCATGATTGTTTGGTAAAAATCTCTGACACATATATGACTGTGTACGTTGATAAAATGCGGTATTGATTTCAATGTATGTGTTTTTCCCAGTTTTCTCTCGCTGTAAAAAGCCTTTCTGCTATTTTTTAAGTTTTCTCTTAATAGCTTTCTAAGTATAGATATTGATCGGAATGTGGTTCGTGAAAAGCATTCCTTCCAGCTGGGAATTTACAGAAAACCTTGTTTTCGGGAGAGTTTTCCAGCAAAGACTTGGCGCGACAAAAAATTTAGGTTGACCCCATATGTGTTAAATCATGGCATTCAAATCGCATTTCGTACTGTATTTGTACATTATCACATATCTCGAAAAGCTGGTTTTTCTACAACTGACGGTGGTTTTTTTTCGTTCACCACAGTGTCTAAAGACTTCACAGATTCAAAGAGAAAAAGCCATTCAATCTCACATATATATATATATATAATATTCTATAAAGTATTTCCTTGATTTCAAATATTTTTAGAATTAGTGTATCAAAACCAATTAAATTTTTCCGCCTCAATTACATGATCCGACATCACATGTATTACACTGTACGAATTCAAGCAATTCCCGAATTCGATTCGTCCCTTCGCACTCCTGCCATCCACAAAGATCATCAGGTCTTCGAATTTTTTTGCGTGTGGATTCGGCTGCTGCGTGAGGACTTTTTTGTCTTCGTCACGAATGTCGTTGAATGCTGGTCAATTCTATACTCCCTGGAATGTTAAGATGGCCGTGCTGAAGCGCTTCCGCGTAGGATGGAGAGAGTCAGCTTATTCCAGACTAATCAGCTACTAATGATCCGATCTAGAAAGATGATAGGCTTGGTTGGCACGGAGCGTTATTGAACCATCGTTTAGCTAGGTTGGGCAGTCCGCGCAGTTAACGGAATCTATATCACTGTACCACTCGCTCCCTAGAACAAAATTTAAGATGTTAAAAATTTTCAATGCAAGAGTAGCACAGTGCAATCTTAGTCGGCGCACTAGTGAGCAGCATTATGTCCTGCTGGGCGAAGTCGAAATTTCAACTATTTTCGTGCACGAGCTACGAGGCTTGACGCAGAAATGTGGTAAAAATACTTGCGATTGAATTTAGAAAACTAAATTTTCATCTTGGTGAAATAAAATTACTTACACCTTGCCAGCATGGACACCTGTGGGGCAGTGGTCGCAGGCGCCCTGCAACACACAATTGGAATCGATCCGCGCGCCCATGGCCGACCAAGCCCTCCATCCCTCCGTGATCGGCAAATTGATACCAGACTTGCTTGGGAAGATAGCAGCACTGGCTTGATACATCGGTAGGCCACCGCGAGTCATTGTAAAGGCCAGGTATGCATTCAATCACCTTCAACGATGATTAATGAGGTTGAACGCATAGTGCATCCTTCAGGGATTGATCAACGCCGAGAGCTTTATCCCTTATCCTTTATATCTTGTCGGCAAAAATCTGTTGTACATCTAACTTGTTGTACTCAACACATTCAGCGCGTGATGTATTAAGAAATCGATAGAGAAACAAAGACTTTAGAAATGAATAAAAATTGAAAATCTGATTTATTTAGTTTTTCTTGTTCTCTACAGGAATAAGACAGAGTGACGACGAGCTGTTGAAAGTTGTTTTTATGTTGGTGGGATTAAAAACAGACGTAGGCTAAAAAAACTAGGACTTTAGCCAATGTGACATATTCTCAATGGCATCGTGTGAATGTCGAGTTTTTGCTAGAAAAACAACTAACATCAACCAAATACCTTTTTTAAAGCTTCTATTTTATGTTTAGGTTTTGGCAGCAGCAGTCGTTTCTGCAACGGGTCTTTCCATTCAACTAATAAATAATGCCGATCACATGGTGGTAGGTGAACGACAGAGTCTGTCTACTCCATTTCATACAAAGGAGACTCAAAGACAGAGAATGAGCAAATCGTGTGTCAACGTTTAAGCTTAATTGTTTTTCAGCTCATATCTCATGCGATTCTGTTCGTTGCCGTCAATATTGTTGGATTATTTGTGTTCTATCCCATAGAGTTGGTACAGCGAAAGACGTTCAGAGAGACGAGGTAGGCGATAATTTAAGTACGGGAGTAAATGGAATACAGTTGGAAGCGATCTTTTTGTGTAAGTATAAGGTCGAACACAGCACTTTAACAAATTACCTGGAATCGAGTGCAAAAATAGCTATCAAGTTCTTTGAAAGAATCGAATCCGTGAAACTCGTACTCGTTTCTGCTACGTAAGACCAATTGATTTGAAACGTTGTCGTCTCCTTGAAGTGGATGATTTCAAATGAAATAAAACAATTGAAAAAAAGAAAAAGTAAGGTACTGTAATTTCTTACGGCTTATATGAATGGATTTTCAGTAATCTGTAGTGCAGTATGCACTTGGTTTTTCTTAGCTAAACATACTCGAATGATCCATACCCACTAAAAATATTTAGCGTTTAGATATAGTTCCTGTTTGACATCCTTCATGATTTGTGAGTAAAGTGTTTCTTTAGAATCTCATAATAGCCGTCTCAAATAGATCCCTTCCTCCTCTCGGCGGTTTATCCCCTCATCGTGTTTGGGAGGTTTTTCTGGGTGTCGGACTGCGATGTACAGCGAGAGGATTCATCTCCTCGGCAGGGTTTCCCAAGTTGAGAATGAGTCCAGCGTTTCCACCAAGAAACGCTGCTATGACTAAACCAATACCAGGTCCCGCCACCGCCCTGGTGTCAAACTAGTTGCATGGTGGCAAATCTTCCTCTGACTCGCAAGAGAGGCAACTGCCTTTGGTGGTGAAGACGTTGACGAAGACTTTGGCCAGACCGACCTTAGGATTCCATAGAACCACAATAGCTAAACCAGAAAATCTCCGAAAAAATAAAAATTATGCTGGGGCCCACACAACTAGTGAAGACGGGCCATCCGTATATCCAAGTAAGTAGGTAATACATTCCTCGTGCAGTTACTACCTACTGATTCTTGCCAGATTATATGACTTGAAAGAAAATTTGCCTTCTAATTAACTTTCATCCTTCGCTATGATGCCTATTCCATGGATTCGCCCACTTCTGTATGGACATTCCAATAAAAGTATCGAACTGCTTTCCTGTTTGTGAGACCCTTGAGGGTGGTGCACCTCCTTCACCACCGCTGTACATAGTAATTCAGCCTTAGATATTTCCCCACAATGAGATGTAAGCCACTGAGGGATCACCTAGTGTTGAGCCTCAGAAAATTCGATTCAAATTACACTGCAGAGTCAAGATAATTTTTTCGTTAGGACAGGTGTGATTCTTGATGATCGACACTGAGCGTTATTGCAGGAAATGCGTGGAGACAAGGATGATGCTGGTCAGGGAACTGGACAAGCAGGAGAAGATTCTTCTTTCTGTTCTGCCTAAACACATTGCCTATGAGGTTTTCAACTTGAATAGAAAATGTTCGAGAAATACCTATGATCAAGACGATGCTTCGTCGTGCTCATCATATGCTCATTTTTTCGAGTTTTTTAGGTGAAAGACGACATGGAGGGCAAGGAAAAGGATCAAATGTTCCATAAAATCTATATTAGAAAGCACGAAAATATTAGGTTCGAATAAATGTCTTCACAAGCGAAACATTTATACAAGTAGACTTTTTTTTAATATCACAACCGGTTATGACATCTCTTAGTTATGTAAGTTTTTACCTAATTCTCCACCCTATCCAGAACCAGGAGGATGCGTAGGACTTCGAAATTTGTGGAGTCAAATTTATTCACTGGTTATGCTCATTACTTCTGAAAAAATCGTGGAATTTCTCTCACAGACGCTAATGTTGTTACTTCATTTCTGTCCTTAGTCGCGCTATCGAAGTTTGAGATCCAGAGATTTGAGTCTGGAAAGGCTCTGAGGAAGGCGAAATCCGCCGAAACGTCAGCTTGTACGTAAATAAAGAAATAAAATAGCACATCGTGTTTGCTGAACAGAAGTAGAAAGAATTATTATCATTATTATTATGATTATTTTCACCTTGCCTCCTGTCAATGGATGCGAAATGTTTTCAGTATTCTGTTTGCTGACATCTGCGGTTTCACGAATCTCGCATCAGAATACACGGCTGAAGAATTGGTGCTGATGTTGAACGAACTGTTCGCACGCTTCGACGCTTTAGCCGCTCAGCACAACTGCATGCGAATCAAGGCAAGTGTTCTTTATTTGTGTTATATTGTTGGCATCTTTGCACTGGATGAGAAAAAACAGCCGACGTGATGGACATCGACAGCGAGACACTCAGTTGATTTCATTCCATCACTCGTCATCTATTTGATTATGTGGCATCGTCTGGAATTCATGTTAGCCATTGTTTATCGATATTCGTCGTAAGAATACCAATTATTCTCTGAATGCAGCTGACATCTAAGAGCACCGAATAACGTACTAGCTAAGAGGAATTGCATTCAGAAGTGAACGTCATGTTGTTTTAATGTGAAAATGTTTGACAGTCTTCGATATAGAAAGGAGAAACACATTTCTGATTCTAGAGAAACTTCCAGAGAAAATTTATGCGAGCATTTCCTTTTTCACTGGATAACGAATTCGTTGAGCTAAATGGGTCGACGCTATGTGTACCATGCTGTGCAAGTCCTAACATTCGTTTTCATTCTTTTTCTGGCATCTACCATTCACGAAGGTCTTCGAACCTCTCTTGCGTATGGGTTAGTGCTCAGAGTTCTTTTCGTCTTCGTCACGAATATCGTTGAATGCCTGTCTAGTTGAATGCATTGCTGAGAGAGGCGTACTGGAATGTTTGCACTTGAACAATAGGGATTCAGCTTGTTTAAGAGAAGTCCGATACCTGTTTCTGGACCCCTTATGAGTGACTTGATCGATCTGGAACGGGATCGAACCAGCTCAGTGTAGATTGGGCCGTCCACATTTTGAACGGGATCACTAACACTATGCTGTCCGCTCCAGTATAGTGTAAAGGTGCAGAAGTTTGTAAGTGGAGAATAAGAGAGCCAGACAATATCTGGTGGCAATATTTCTTTTTTTTTATGGTAAATGGACCATTTCACTTGTCCTTTTCGGGTTTTTCCATTTGGCTTCTCCATATAATTTTTTTTTATTTCGAGATTGTGCAAGTGCTTGCCGTTTTTTTTCTTGGCTGTTTTCAAGCAAATGTCATTCTTTATGAGTTGTTTTTGTAAGGAAATCGTTTTAACAAAGTTCCTCAGAAAATTATGGTTAATACTCGTTTGACCCATCCTGGGTAGCCAAATCCGGGTCTTTCAAGCCAACTTCAACAAATATATCTGAAGACGTAGTGAAATTTTGTTATTGATCTAAAAGTCACCGGAACCTACACATCGTTGACGATATTTTGTAAGACTCCTGATTATTCGACTCTGATGAAATACTAAGCTTCTGGAGCAAACAAATCGTTTCGTTTTCGCGTTTCTTCGTCAAGCCTCATATTTCCTGCAGCAAAGCTATTGCATACATGGGATTTCGTGAGAAAGATCACCTTAATACTGAAGGTTTCAGCAGTGTTTCGAGCTTATAGGATATTACTAGCGGTCGGAAAATCCGGAATATCGCCACTGGATTAATATCTAGTGCCAGAGATGCATTGGAATCAATGCATTTGATGGAAAAATAGTGGCCGCTTTCATAATTAAACAAACTTATCTCGCTCTTACCAAACTTTATTAGATTTGATAGAAGCTCTTACAATCTTTAGCTTTTCGCGCATAATACTATCTAGTTGAAAAATCCTCAAATCCTCCTCTAATCGAGAAATCTTTCCGTTTTCGGAAAGTATGTTATGCGTTGGATGTGTCTTCGGCCGGCAATCTAAGACCTCAATTGCCTTCATGCTCCACATGATAATGTTTTCCTACCTATCTTGTCTTGTATTTTTATGTCCCTTTAATGCTTTCCTTTACCATTCCTGCTAGACGAAGCGCCAACACGACCGGCTGTGATTATCGATGCTATAATAGTACCTATATTGACGTTGCGTCAGTGTTCTCTACAAGATCGGACCATCGTCTCTTGCGAAAAATTCGTTTTTTTTTTCTCTCAAAACAATGGAGTATGATTACGGTATTTGCTTTCACGCTAATGCTGGGAAAGCCGTGTTTCAAAGTTATTGGCTGGCTAAATCGGCAAAGAAAGGGTGGGACACCTGTAGAGAACGTTTCTGTTGAACCTTAGTATGATTTATTCACGAGAAACGGATTCTTTTCTACAGAAAAGAGAGGCGCGTCGTGTGCACCTTTTCGAGTCTACGATTTTATTTGTGTTACACGACTCCAAAATCTGGCTGAGCTGGATGAAACATCAGTGACCATTGCATAAAGCGCTATCAAAAGATTTGAGCTATTGGGATTATCCCATTTCACAAGAGACAATAGGATTCCGAGGTTCCAATGTCTACTTCGACGAGCAGAGATCAAAGCCGAAATGTCGGAAATCGGATGGAATGGGTACATGATGCGTCTTAAGAATAAATGGGGACATAAGCCGTTAACGATTCAGTCTCATGAGAGGTCAATAAAACAATGGGGAGAGCAGTAAGTCAATATTCAAACTGCTTCGCAACAATCTCTAGCAAACACATATGATACTTTTCACGCCCATCGAGCGAGTAGAATCCGGGGACCAATGGTGACTTCTCTGCTCTATCCTAAGTCACTTGATGATTAACAACGCACAAAACAGAAGGAGGATTCTCTTGCGTGAATTACAAAAATAGTGCACTTTTATCTATTAACTTGAAGTCAGCGATTTACCGATCTCAAAGAGCTAAAAAGATTTATTAATCAAGAAGAAGTTCAAATCTTCGAGTATTAGCACAGCGAATGCTACCATATATCCTAATTCGATGTACTATTGCCCTCATAGTGGTTTTTAAAATAACTGTTGGGCTTAGGCAAGCCTCCTTGATAAAGTATAATGGCGACTTCTTGTAATGAGTACATGTTGGTCAAGGAGCTTTATTTTTAACATATCATAAAATTTGCAGATCCTTGGCGATTGCTATTATTGCGTAAGCGGTCTTCCTGATGTCAATCATCATCATGCAGCCTGTACAGTGGAGATGGGACTCGATATGATCGAAACCATCAAGTAAATTCAGAATTTCATCTGCCACTTCTCATCTTGTTCGACTCCAAATCATAGGCGTTTTTTTACTGCTAGAATTTCAACGTGTTTGTTTCTCGACCTAGCCTATGTAGCGCGGTAGTTAGAGAAGCAGTTCAATACAAGCGCAGCCATATAATTATTGGTTCGTTCTCACAGCATGGGCTATCTAAGCCTCTTATTGTCCTGGATCGAAAGCGACGTCAACTTGTACTGACACGGTAAAAAGACAGACTTGAATCGGTAACATTTGCAAATCGTTATATAGAGTAAATNTCAAGTAAATTCAGAATTTCATCTGCCACTTCTCATCTTGTTCGACTCCAAATCATAGGCGTTTTTTTGCTGCTAGAATTTCAACGTGATTGTTTCTCGACCTAGCCTATGTAGCGCGGTAGTTAGAGAAGCAGTTCAATACAAGCGCAGCCATATAATTATTGGTTCGTTCTCACAACATGGGCTATCTAAGCCTCTTATTGTCCTGGATCGGAAGCGACGTCAACTTGTACTGACACGGTAAAAAGACAGACTTGAATCGGTAACATTTGCAAATCGTTATATAGAGTAAATATGCATTGATCCTCATCTGTGAGACTTAGTGGAGTCGAAACTATGCACGTCGCTGAAGAACTGATCAAAGCTTAACACTTTATCCTTTATTCTTTACATTTGTTTCTCAAAATTTCGAATCTTTTCTATTTGAAACTGTACGACCTTCATTAACTCCGAAGTGATTAAAACAAAGGCTCTGTTGAGATTGGTGCGTGAGATGACTAGGGTCAATGTGAACATGCGAGTTGGAATTCATTCCGGACGAGCACATTGCGGAGTACTAGGCTTAAAGAAGTGGCAGTTTGACGTATGGAGTGATGACGTGACGTTGGCGAATCACATGGAAAGCGGCGGACTTCCTGGGTAGGTTTATTTCCTTCGAGCTTATAGCAACGTCTCTCTGAGTAGAAAACAACGAAATTCACCAATTGGAAGTTTTTTCTTCTCTACATAAAGATGTCTAATCTTTTTTTTACTGTGCGAAGGAAACAAATTATAAGCACATGGAAGCTGAAATATAAGCAAAATTGGGAAGCTCAGCTCGGCTTCGAACTCGCGATTAACCTTTATGAGGTCTCATGTGCTATCAACCACACCGAGGTCATTGCGCTATCTTTCTTTCTCACNAGGTTTATTTCCTTCGAGCTTATAGCAACGTCTCTCTGAGTAGAAAACAACGAAATTCACCAATTAGAAGTTTTTCCTTCTCTACATAAAGATGTCTAATCTTTTTTTTACTGTGCGAAGGAAACAAATTATAAGCACATGGAAGCTGAATATAAGCAAAATTGGGAAGCTCAGCTCGGCTTCGAACTCGCGATTAACCTTTATGAGGTCTCATGTGCTATCAACCACACCGAGGTCATTGCGCTATCTTTCTTTCTCACGGCCAGTTTTTTACTTTTTACGTTGCTTTTTTATCGGTGCTATTAGCAGTCACCGGTCAACGTAAATGACCCATGGAATAAAAATCAGCTTTGAGCCCAATTAAGTTGGAGTTACAGTCGAGATCGCATTGTTTACCTTTTGTTTACTGCCTATTCTTTTTTGTTCACGGCTGGGTATTATGTGAAATACAACCACAAATGTACTGAGCTATGGGAAAAACAATACATTATACCTCGTTAAAAGAATGAGATAAGTTTTTTGCAACCACTACATTATCATCGAACTATATCCCTTCAGTAATCGACTACACAAGACTTATCCATGGTTTTCGTTAGACATAATTTGCATCCTCTTACAAGTTTCTGTCTTCATTCGATTGTCATTTTTCTTCATATCTCTCCTTGTTCTTCCTGTTCATTTCATAACGAAAACTGATGGTTTTAGTCAGTTATTGATACCTAGAGAGAAATAAACGTATTGGATTTTCAGTTTTATACATTTTCCGGTCAGGTCAGATTTTTTGCACTATCTTTTGATAAACGGGCGCGTGTGGCGCAGTGGTCGGAGGCGATTTGCAACACACGGTTGAAATCGATTCCCTCGCTCATAGCCCACCAAACCCTCCATTGCTCCAGGGTTGGCAAATTGGTGCGAAACTTGTCTGGGAGGATAGCAGCACTGGCTCGATACATCGGTAGGCCACCGCGAGTCATTGTAAAGGCCATATATGCATTCACTTAACTCCAAGGGGTACTTAATGAGCGAAGTCGACGCCGAGAGCTTTATCCTTTTTATCGTTTGGTAACAAGCTGTTTTCTGCCTTCTAATTTATTTCCACTTTTTTTGGATATCTAATGGACGTACCGTTACACTTTCCGCTTTCTAAGCTACTAAAGCGACAAACTATGAGTTTTTCTCAGGCGTGTGCATATCACCAGAGCGACGTTGGACTCATTGAATGGTGAATACATCGTTGAGGAAGGTCATGGCAACGAACGATCGAAATATCTGGCTGAACACCATGTCGACACATTTTTGGTCGTCGAGGCGAAGAACAAGCAGGCATCCGCTCGTCCGGCTGTCAGACTGGTAGTTTTTCTTCTAAATTGTTCTGTTATTGGAGTTTTTTGCAGTGTTTAGGATGAAACGACGATCAGAACAACGTAAGTTTTGCCAGCGAACGAAAATGTCTCTTTTTTCTAAGAATTGAAACTTCAGGTGCAAGTAGGAACTTTTCAAAACATATTAGTGTTTTTTTCAATCTTCGATTTTATTCTGGGTACTCAACTTTGTGCTCTCGCATGATCCGCCTTTCTAATATACATAAGTTAATAAATAAGTGGGGTCGGTTAGCTCAGTGGTACTGATGTCCGTCATCACGAGCATGGTACTAGTTCGATTTCGCTTCTGGCCAACCAAGCCTCTCATCTCTCCGGAGTCGGGAAATTGGTGCTGAGCTTCTCTGGGTCCAAGTGGGAACGCTCCATCTCGGTTCTCTCAGGATTACAGGAAGAATTGCTCGACCAGCACTATAGGACATTCAAGATGAAATGAGGATCCTCAAGCAACAACCGAAGCCACGCATAAAAAGTTGGAAGATCTTCGTGGACGATGGATGCGAGGAAGCGAATTGGATGTGAGAAGTGCTGGGATCCGCACAGTAGACGTGAAGACGAGTCATATAAAATAAAAAAACAAATAAGTGATTGAGCTCATTGTCAATAGTATTATTTTCCCGTGCAGCCATAGAACGGACCTCTTTCTCAAGCGATTTCCGACTGGTTTCTTACTGGTCCAATTATGTAATCGTTTATTTGGTCTTTTATCAATGTAAGCGACTACATGGTTTGGCATGACGAATCTATGCATTTATCACTGATGAATCCTGAAAATTTTAGACAATATCTTCTAAAGTAAGCAGCTATCAGAGTACAAATACCTTGGAAGATCCTTGTAGAGTTAAAAATTCAGGCGGATACTTCTATTGCTACCACGGTTCTTAATACTAATCGTTTTTTGGTTTATCGTAGCAAGATATATTCTAATTCTTGCAATGATGGGTTGTTTTTAAAGAAGCTTCTTCTGCGCGAAGTTGTTGTTTCATGGTTAACGACATCGCCTTCATGAGATCCGTGGGATTCTTCACCGAATTTAGATGTGGGCTCACTCGTTTGTGGTTACCAATGCAAGCTTTGGTTGGCACAAGCATTTGTTATGTGAGGCACCAGCTTAAATTATGAATTTGCATAAGTCGAAGTGTACAACTGTACTGTGTTGACGGATTAGCTCTCTGGCAGTGAGAAGCAAACATTCTCGAAGCATTCAAGATCTACATGAAGAAGTGTACTTGTTCGTTTGATATACCGAGCAAGAAACGTCCTATGAACTGCACAGGTAAGAAATCTGCACCTCGTTACTTATCCGAAATACCGCATTTCTGGTTCCAGCTATCTCTTGTGGCAAGAAGTGGATATTATGTAACTGTGGGTGAAAGGCAGCTTAATCTTTGGTTCTCTTATATATGACTATGCTGGATTTGCACCAGGAATGTGAGATGATGGTTACTGATTGGCAATCAATTGTCAAAGTTTCCGTAGAGAAAGGTAGACTAAAACTGAGCTAACGTACTAGAATTGGACTTCAGTAGTCGAGCAGGAGAGGCCGGATGTAGTGCACGATATCATGTTTTCATGCCTCGAAAGTGGTATGCAGAACCTGAGCGAATTTGAATATAAAATGCTGCCTCAACGCTTCTTATGACTCTGTCAGTCATAGCAGATTGCCACTTCTTCGTCATTCGATGGCCTGAAAAGCCTTCGACAACTTTGACGGATCCGTCGAATTCAAATTGTTTTATAAATGAACTTTTTAGGTTTGTAAGAGGTTAGCTAAGGGTATTGATTATACATTTCTAACTTCATTAAAAGGTTTATGCAAAGCACGGTTGTTCGTTACTCTCCGTATTTCGGAACTTTGACTACCTTTTCCGGAGACTCACGTGTTCACACTACACCAATCGAGAGCTTTGACTGGCATTTCTCTCAGCCAGTTTTTTAGCATTATGGTGTAATCAGCAATCACCTGAGTTTTGCTCATACCTCAGCATCGTTGTGGTTGTTTTCACATGGTTTCACATGATATTCCGCTACAACATTTTGTAACAGTTCCCAGGATCAACTTTCTGTTAACCTCGGCATTGGAGTCTGAATGCGTCGTTTTTTTTCATATAAATACTTTACAACGAAAATTCGAAAATCTTTTGGGTAATTCACATGTCTCAGCTTCAAGAAACAACTGCAAGCGAATTCCCTACGCTTCTGATAATAGTCAAAATGGAGTTGATAATGCACCAAGAAAATCTAGGGTCACCGTGATTGGGGGCACAGCAACACCTGAGAGTGCGTGCTTGCTATTAGAATTGGGCTCAAGTTTTGCAACATCACAACCCATTTCTAAAACGACCATGCGTAGGATAGCATGCAACCGTTATGAGCTTCAAGATCGACTCCGCTATCAGGCCAAGCAAGGAACAATAAATAGAGATAAAAATCAAGAGGCGGCGACACTACCACCATCTCCTTTCCCTAAAACGTTTTTTAGACAGCAAGACCCTAACGATGGAGTTGACATAAAATTCCGCACATGTTCTTAAGACCCTTAATCACTACCGCGATAGAAAGTTTGTCTCTAACCTTACAGCCGCACAAACATGTGGCATGCGAGAAATTAGAGAATTAATAAACTCAAAAACAATAAGATTGTCTGTTAGTGATAAGGGGGGAGAGTTCGTAGTTATTCCTCACCAGCTGGATGTTGCGATAACAGAGGAACATCTTAGTGGTGCTACTCTCTATCGCCCATCCTCTGAAAAGGAATATAAAAGTCAATACCGAAACCTAAACAATCAATGGTGGCAAAGGCTGCAGGTTTAAAATCATCGGTTATTTCTCACTTTAAAATCGATAGACCAACATGTCCCGTCCCATACCTACTTATTAAAACACAAAAGTTGGTATCACCTGATGATCATGCGTCAACCCCAAACCGTCATCATTTAAGGTTAGACCGATCATCAGCTGTGTAGACGGGCCAACGGATATAATAACCTGGTTTTTAAGCCTGATACTTACCCAGTTGCTTAACCACATTCCAGCTCACCTCGCAAATACCCAAAGGTTCCTAGAACGTCTACGTAACGCGTACGTGATAGAGTCTTCCGACGTTACCGCTCTGTACACCAACATGTCGAATGAGTCCGCAATGCAAGTCATCTTCGAACTTCTTGTTGAATGAAGGAAGAATAAACATGCATGGCTTGTCCATCCAGCAGCTAATGGCTCTCTTAAAGGAGTGCCTAAACTGCTCGATTTTCAGATGGTCTGGGAAATATTTCGCGCAAATAAGGGGGCTGCTAATGGGACAGTGACTGGCATCAAGCCTTGTCACTGTGTTTATGTCTGCGGTGGAAGCACAACGGTGACCGATCTGGGGCCGCTTCTCTACTGTAGATATATAGATGACTGTTTTGTCCTTTGCTCAACACAAGAGGAAATGGACAAGTGTTTCGAGTTGTTGAGTGCACAGTCAGAGTGTATGAAGTTCACTCGAGAGAAACCGAGAAAAAACTGGCTTCCATTTTTGAACGTTCAAATAAACCTATCAAGTAGCGGTTATTTGAAAAGTGGTACCGAAAGCCAAGTAACAAGAACATCCTCGNGAGGAAATGGACAAGTGTTTCGAGTTGTTGAGTGCACAGTCAGAGTGTATGAAGTTCACTCGAGAGAAACCGAGAAAAAACTGGCTTCCATTTTTGAACGTTCAAATAAACCTATCAAGTAGCGGTTATTTGAAAAGTGGTACCGAAAGCCAAGTAACAAGAACATCCTCGCTCATTTCCTTTCTTTCCACATTAAAAACCTCGCGATTGCTGAACAAGAAGACTGCGTGTTTTATTTCATTGGTGATTAGGTTCCTTTTAAAACAGAAACAACCCAACTCAGCTTTTCAACGAGGTTTGTCAACTGGATAAGTGTATGACAGAAACAAGGAATAAATGTCTTTTTTTGGTAAAATATTCCAGAACAATTTTCAGACTGTCAACAAAGAGCTCCGTTTAACAGGCCACGCATCGAAGCTACAACGAGGTCAGAGTCTACGGTAAGTCGAATGAGGATGTCAACCTTTAGCACTGTTCGTTTATGACCGTTCACTTAGGCAAGCCGTGAAACCCACGAAACCATTGAAAGACGACGTCGAGTCGCATCTGAGGCAAGGCATTCAGGCCATCAACAAGGAGAGTTGGCGTGACACTCATTGCCATCGCATCACGTTGAGATTCAAGGAGTCGAATGTCGAGAAAAAGGTGATTGACCTCTACTTATGCTTGTATGTGTGTATGTGTGTGTGTCTTTGTTTGTTTGTTTGTTTGTTTCTTCTACTATACGTACATCCCTTCTTCTTGCTTAATGTGCTGAATTTTCACAACATCGCGGCCGATCCAAAAGAAATGGTGAGGTAAAGAAAAACAAAGGAAAAATCTACTTGGTTTAGTACTGGGAAACAATCTATGTTTTAATTACGTCATTTAAGTCGAACATAATGTTCGATTATGACATAATTGCTTAAGAAGTTGCAGTAACTGAAGAAATAACTCCAGTCACGCATTGGTTTCAATGCACTTATCCGAATTTTCGCTAGATTTTGAGAATTTTTACACACAGTGCCATTCATAGGAGCTGAACGTCAAGACAACGTTTCCTTGTTGTTTCTGATCGATTTTAGTCATGATGACAGCGATAACCGTAGCCCATGACCCGACTATTGTCGCTATAGTTCAGTAATTTATATAAATGTATTGAATAATCCACTAAACGTTATCAATATTTCAGTTTCTGGAGATTAAAGAGTCAGCTTTATTGGCGCAGATCTGTTGCTATTTTTTCATCTTCATCTTGGCTTGTTGGGTTCTAATTGTCGGAGATATGGGGTAAGCTGGTTTCTATTGGGGCTAGCGTATAGGAATGAAGTGAGAAAAGATAAAAAAAGGTGAAATGAGCAGAATGATTTCAGTAGTTCAGCGATGTTCGTTAGCATGGCAATAGCGTTTGTCACTTTGATCATTCTCCTTATCTACATCGCTGCCAAAGCATTCTTGGTAAGGATGTGTCTATGAGTATTGGAAGCATCTCTCTATACGAGTCTCTCTCAAAGATTCTCTTATTCCACACCTTTAATTCTAGATTTGGCCTTGATTACCATAAAGAAATAAACTTCGAAATCAATGGAAACAGTGAGTAAGCAAGAACTCCTCACGTGAGCTGCCTTCTTATGAGAAGGGCTTTCCGATATCAGCTTTTATACCTTAAAGAAAGTAGTCTGTTCTAAAGTGAATCTGAGGTACCAGTTTAAAAACTTAGGCACAGTCCGTGCACTAAGTTTACCAAAGTCTTAATAAGAAAGCATGAAACACTAAACGAACAAATCCCTGTGACATCTGATAATCAGTTACATCACATCATTCTGTGTTATCCAGTTACGGAATGCTAAGCGAGGAGCAAAGAAGCTGAAGTGTTCACGAATCGTCCGCATTTTCTTCACATGCGCCATTCTACTACTGTCCCACTTCATCATTATAAGCGTAAGCGATTTATTTCTTGTTTCAGTCACTACATCTTCTAATCATTTATCATTCCCGACTTACATCACTGACGTCGTAGGTTGTTATATTCCGTTCGGAAGTGCTGTTTTTATAAAAATGTAGAGATAAGTATGTGACGGAAATGAGTAGGCGGAACATAGAGGTGTTGTGGACAACTAGAGTCCTGTGAAGATAAAATTTTTCACTAGAAAACAATTCTAAAGTAGAAAGAGGCAATGACAGTTAGATGTCTTTTTGTCGTCTTCTAGGCATTAGACACAGAACAGTGCACGTTTGAGTGCACGACAGTTGGTCCCACCCTTAGCAATTCGTCTTGCCTTGAGGTCTCTGCTCCACAAGCCGAGGTATTTTCTGCTTTATAACTGGTCTATTTTTATCCCCTTTCTGTTTCCTTATTGTGAAGAAATTTCTATCACAGCTAATATTCGAGACGAGTTTACTGTTGCTACTCTCGTCGTGTGTCTATTTGGCTTTGCTGTCGTCTTCTAAGGTATTTTTATCCTGTATTTATTCTGTTTACTTCTACAACTATATAACATGTAAATATTTTAAAATTATATAAGAAATCTCTATAAAAAAGCTGAAGCTCTTGGCGTTGGTCAATCCCTGAGGGATGCGCCATGCATTCGACTTTATTAAGCATCGTTTGGAGATGATTGAATGCATATCTGGCCTTTACAATAACTCGCGGTGGTCGACCGATGTATCGAGCCAGTAGTGCTGCTATCCCCTCAGATAAGTCTGGTACTAATTTGCCGACCCCGGAAGGATGGCTTGGTGGGTTATGGGCCTGGGGATCGATTCCACGTGTGTGCTACAGGGCGCCTCCAACCACTGCGCCACGTTCGCTTTAAAAAGATAATATCCATATGAAAACCATTAGGACCACAGCGCAACTTATATCACTCATATTGCCTTAAATGCCCACTTCGATGCATAAAATCTTTGATAATGGATTAAATGAAAAAAATGTAATTAACTAAGCAGTGACTATGGATAGGATGTCGGGGAATGTAAGTGAATATTGTGGAACTTTGACCGTATTTATATAACGGTTTCTCGCTGTCAATAAAAAAAGTCAATTCAGAGCTTCTTAAAGGACTGTTGCAGGTGGGTATGGTAGTGGTACTGTGTTCGATTGGTATCACGTTAATGTGGTCGTTTCCTGGAGCTCAGCTTACTAATAGACAATTCCATCTTTGGCTGGACAGAAATCACTACTTCAGTAACTTCACGCTCGTTGATCAGCTGGAGGCGTACTGCAGGTATCGGTAGCTCTTCGAGTAGCTTTCACAGTAGCGTGCGTTCTCAAACATCATGGCGCCATGTTGACTGATGCTTGACACTGCTAATTTTTTAACGTTTTGTTTTCTGCCTTCTATAATTTTCATGGCAGGTTACTAAGCGAAATACAACCACAACGTTGCTGAGATATTTGCAAAACTCTGGACCGCAGGTGTCTATGGTGGGGAACGAACGCGCTATTATCCTTTCCGGGGAGTAACGCGTTCACCACCACACCATGCGGGTCCTTTGTTTCGCACGTCTCTCAGCTATTTCTATCGATCTTTTTGCCACAGCAATCACCCGTCAGCGGGGTTGATCTGGGGAGCGCAAATCGGCATAGAACCCAGTTAAGCTATGGCTGTAGTTGAAATCACAATGTTTTAACGTTTTGTTTTCTGCCTTCTATAATTTTCATGGCAGGTTACTAAGCGAAATACAACCACAACGTTGCTGAGATATTTGCAAAACTCTGGACCGCAGGTGTCTATGGTGGGGAACGAACGCGCTATTATCCTTTCCGGGGAGTAACGCGTTCACCACCACACCATGCGGGTCCTTTGTTTCGCACGTCTCTCNCGAGATTAATCGAAAGTCGGTCTCGGGAATCTTGGAAAGGGGTTTAAACTGAGGCGTAAAAAAGGGAAAAGGCGTATGATGCTATTCAATTCCTTAGGGATTCGCCACGCATTCAAGTCCATCGACTATCACATAAGTGATGAGATGTATATCTGGCGTGTGTAATGAATGACTTACTGGGGTCTGCTAATGAACCTTTTCGATGTCTTTACCCTAACAAGTAAACCTGGTACTAATTTGCCGACTCCGGAGATTATGTGACCGAATTGAGATCACTTTTGCTTTACTAAGAACTTTTAACTACTGCGCTACACCCACCTGATAATTTGCACTAGTAATTTTAATTGATAACTCTTCAAGCAATTCTTCAATCATCGATGATCTGCGCATCTTCTTTACGGTCACCGCAG